AGTTCACATATTGTTGACTGACTTTTAAGGGAGTGTTTTGCTCTATCAAATCAATTCAATTCAACAAGCATCTAGTGCCTGCTTTCTATGGGCAAGGCCCTGTGCTGGATGTTGATAGGAAACCAAAAACTGAAAAATCGCCCTGCTAGGAAGAGGCATTAGATCTGACTTTTGTGGAGAATATGCAGCTAGCTATGTGTAACAAAAAAAAAAAAAAAAAAAATCCAATCAGATTTAATAAGTCAAGCAGGAATGAAAAATTAAAAGTTGACAGATTAAAATAAGAAGATACATAGGAAAAACTACTGGATTAATATAGAATGTTGTAATTATAGCTCACATTTATTATTACCATGAGTAGGGTACAGTGATATCCACTAGAGGGCACTATGCAGTCAGTCGGCCATTTATTACATTAAATATTTCCAGTCAGGTTTGTTAATAAACCGGAAATTTCTCTTTGCTACTTCTAGATCTGGTTCTAGATGTCTCACTTTCAGTAAATCATCAGATATACTCCCAAATTAAATTAAAACAAAGAGAAGTATTTTAAGTATTACAGTAGATGTAATAAATCATAGCTTTAAAAAGTTGTAGGGTATCAAGCATTACAAAGTTTATATAACTGTAGCAGCAATGCGCTTTATTAATAAACTATTAATTTCCATGTTTCAGTAGATTTGTAATCCCATCTCCCTTCAATTATATGTGTGTATTATACATACACACACACACACACAACATATATATATATATGTGTGTGTGTGTATGTATGTATATATTAATTACAACCTTTTCATCTTTTTGCAAGTCCTCCACAGGGGGCCATTCAACATGTGACATGTGAAGGTCCTTCTACCTCTCTTAACATTATGTGGCTACCAGTTCATTGGTTATTGATCATTCTCACTCTATAGCTATTGCCTTTTCTAATCATGTATCTTTCTATTCATATTCCTCAAGCTGCTTTTCCTGTGCAGGTCTTCATTGGTACCATGCAGCCTACTCAAGCCCACCATTTCTATTGATCTTTGAGTAATTCAAAGCCATATAACATCCTTGGAAGAATATTGATATTGAAAAGATGGACGCTGGACCTCGGGAAGGAACTTGGGGTCACTAAAAAGCATGTTGCAGTTTCCCAAATGAAATCTAACCTACTCTCTTCCTCATATTTATTTCTAGGCCCAGTTGCAAGATTTATGTACTGATGGACCAGCTGTATAGGCTGTTCCTCCAGCTACATATCGGTCTGAAGAATAGCTATTCTTCTTCCACTGTTTTTCTAGGTGGAGAGTTGGCTGACTTTTTTGAATGATTATGGATCTCAAATATTTAAGGCATTCTTCAGTGTCCCAGGAGGTGATGTAAATTAGCACAATGTCATTTAGAAAAAAAGAACATCTGGAAACCGTGATCATCTGAAGAAAATCCCTCTTCAATTTGGACTTTGTGCTGAATATACTTTCTTACAGTGGCAAGCACTTTTGGCAAGCATACATCATGATCATAATCTTCTCGTTTTAGGCTTTGCTTGACATTAATAATCAAGGGGCTATGGAATTAAGTTATTTTTTGTTACACCTTTCAAAGAATCTTGTTTGATTGAAGATATTTGGCTATATGTAGTTGTTCAGGAATTATTTTGTCATCCCAAATCAATTAAATTGAGCAGTTGTTCATTCAGTGCCTATATTGCAGGACTCTGTGCTAGGTACTGTACACACAAAGACAATAATGAAAAATAGTCCCTGCTCTCAGAGTTTATATTCTTGCCCTTTTATAGTGAACATACAATAAGCACAGTGGGATCTTTACATTCATATGATTATAATGGTTAAAGCAGACCTGGAGTCAAGAAGACTCATCTTCCTGAGTTCAAATCGGGCCTCAGACACTTACTAGTCATATGACCCTGGGCAAGTCACTTCACCCTGTTTGCCTCAGTTTCCTCATCTGTAAAATGAGCTGGAGAAGGAAATGGCAAACCACTCCAGTATCTCTGCCAAGAAGACCACAAATGGAGTCACAAAGAATCAGACATTACTGAAAACAACAGCACAACAACAATGATCAAAGCACTGTACTAGGCTCTGGGAATACAAAGATATGTCTTATTTCCCATAAAATATGTAAAACAGGGGTCTGTCCTGGGATGTCTAATCTCTATGTGCTCTCTTTCTTGGTAACCTCCTCAGCTCATAGGAATTTAATTATCTTTTTGTAATGACTGTCAGATCTAAATATCCAACTCTAGTCACTTTGCTGAGTTCTAGTCATATATCACCATTTTGAACTGCATGTCCTGTAAGCAGTTTAAAATTAACATGTTTCTCAGAACTCATTATTTTTCTCCAAACTCACTGATCTTCAAAACTTCCTTCCAACAGCACCACCATTCTTCTCATTAATCAAGTTTGCAATCGTGGTGCTGTTCTCAACACCTCACTTTCATCACCACACATAATCCAGTCAGGTGCCAAATTTTGTCATTTTTGCTTCCACAACACCTCTCCCATAAAGGAGACACCTTTATTCCAGTCATACATCTCCCATCCTATATCAGGTCCTTATCACTTTTTCCCTGGACTATTGCAATGGCTTGTTTCCCTATCTTGTCTATCATTACTTCCATTCCTTGTCTATAAAGCTGCTAAAGTAATTGTCCTAAAGTGCAAGTCTGAGCATGTCATTCCACATTGAGTAATCTCCAGTGGCTCCCTGTTACTTATAAGATAAAACACTCCTGTTTGGCATTTAAAGCTCTTCACAAATTGACCCCATACTACCTTTTCTAGCCTTATTACACATCATTCCCCTTCCCATACACTATGATCCAGCTGTTAGAAAAACCTGAAACAAAAACCTACTACAGTGAGCAAGTGAAGGAAAGCCTTTATTATACTTCTCGCGAGAGAAGCGGGCACAACACACTTTAATAGCACATGAGCACTGGTTCAGTGGTACAGTCAACTTTTAAACAGTAAGATCCATACTCCTCCGACCAGGGCTACGATTGGTCTAATTCACCCAAGTTACACTCTTCCTGGACAGCCCATTGCATGTTCTTCCATGTGTCAGTTAATATTTAATAAGCTTATTAAGCAAGTGCAGTGGAGAAAAAGCATTTGCCCTGTCGAGGCCCTGTCCTTGAACAGGTGGGATTGCAAATGGTTTAGCCTCCAGGGCTCTTTCTGAAAGAACTAGTCCTTTACAGAATGTTTGGTACACCTTCTGATTGGTTGAGGGACTATCCACAAGATCTTGGAATTTCTTATCCTGCTGTGGAAGCCCAACCCCCTAAAACCTTTCTTACATATCGAAACTGGCCTTTCTCCTATTTCTCACACATAGTATTCCAGTTCCCTTTTTTGTGCCTTGACACTACGTGATTGGAATTCATGTCTTTCCTCTCCCAGGAAGGAGAACTTTTCCTGCCTCTCTGAATTCCTAGTTCTCTTCAGGACATAGTCCAGATGCCACCTTCTGCACAAAATCTAGTTCCTGATCCTTCCAGCTTCTGGAGCCTTCTTCCCTTCCCCTAATCTCATATAATATAGGCTTATTATGCATATGTGTGTGTAGATATAGATATCTATATCTACACACACATATACATATACACACACACACATATATAAAATAAGTAGCATTTATATAGCACTTTAAGGTTTGCAAAGGGCTTTACAAATACTATCTCATTTTTTCCTCACAATCATCCTGTGAAGTAGATACTGTTATTATCCTCGTTTTACAAATGATGAAACCGAGGCAGACAGATTAAATTACTTGCCCAGTGTCACACAAACAAGTAAGTATACGAGGTCACATTTTAACTCAGGTCTTCCTGACCTTCAGGTCTAATGCATTATCTATTGTGCCACCTAGCTCACATCTTCCTCACTGGATTCTAAGGACTTAGAAAGCAGAGACTGTTATACTTTTGTCTTTGTCTCTCCAGTGTCTAGCACAGTGACTAGCATTTATAGTAAGCAAATGCTTTCTGAATGTTTGTTGATTAATTTCTTGTTGCCTTTTGACACACCATAAACTCAACTCTGTCAGCTCTTTTATTTACCTCTCAGGGTAGGGCCTATAAACCAGTCTTCCATTTAACTGCAACTTCCTTGTGTCTCATGGTTTTGCTTTTGTTGACATCAGTATTGATAAAACAAAGCTTCTCCAATAAAATTACCTACTATTACTAGATCACTAGATACAGAGAGCTGACCTTTAATATCCCAAAACATAAACTAACACTTTCAATAATTCATCTTGTGACTTATAATATCAGAAGGATAGAAAGTGAAGTATCATTTTTAGCAGCATAAAATCTATAGATACTTTCCAACAGATTAACCAAAACTTCCCCAAATATTTTATTTCACCAGCTTTTTTTAGTATTTTGAAATGTTCTACATATTGAAATATACGTAATATATGTACATCTTTACTCTAGAAAAACTTGAAAAAAGGAACATTCAAATAATCCTAGTAGAGAAAAAATATTATTTAAATATAGATACATATTTAGGCTTTTTTGAGTATTTTAAAATGTTCTACACATTGAAACATGATACATAATATTTACATCCTGACTTCAAAAAAAACTTGAAAAAAAGAGCATTCAAATAATCCTAATGGAGGGGGGAAAAAATACACACACACACACACACACATACACACACGTCTGAGTTGCAAATTCTGGTTTGACTTTTTTTTTTAACTTTCCCTCTTCATTTATCCCAGTTTTTTCTTTTTTGCATCAAAAGTTCATTATCACTACTGTTAAATATTTTTAAAAATATAAGTATTTTCTCTTTTCCTTAGTGTAGCTAGCTTATAAATGTCTGCATTACTTAATTAAGTTGGTTGGAATGTGATTCCACATGGTGTTTTCTGATCAGCTTTCTTGCTTTGGAGGATAAGCAACCTTTGACCTACAGCTGGTATCTTGTTAAGAAAAAGTTCCTTTATTCCTTATAAGGCTTGGGCAGACTATTGAGTAATGGCTATGGGTGGTTACATATTCATTGTGCTGTAAGCGACTGGAACATACCTCCAGGCAGCTTTTCTCTCAGCCTTTGTTACAAGCTTTGAAACAATACAATTTTAGAGAAACAAGATTAAACTACCAACTGTGAAAATGGGAGGTTCAGGTAAGTGAATGTTACTTGTGTGAAGCATAATAATGTGGTTCTAAACTGGGGTTTATTTAGAGAAGCTTGGGTTCTAAAATGCTTATACCTTCTTGAAACTGAGTTAAAATGACTCAGCCCGATCTGCTGCCTTTGGTTTTTCAAGCTGCAGTGGTGTAGTTATTACAGTAAAGAGCCATATGTCTTTGAAGCAGTGTTGGAACTAAGTTTTCTTTGATATGCAGTTGTAATCTACATGCAAATGTGACCAAGGAAAGGGAGCCATTTCTGTATCCACTACATCCCGAGGCAAAGATTATGTGTATCTTACAGCATCTTCTGTTTTATTGTGCCTGTCACAGGGATGTGAAATACTGTAAGGGAAAACACATGAATTCACATAGTATGTTTGAGAGGAAATGTTTGAGAACAGTGCTGGATGAAGTGAACACAAAATGATTCTGTGACTAGATGTTTTGTTAGGCAGTGTAACATTGCGGAAGCCATTTATATTTCGCTGTGGACTCGATCCAGCAGAAAAAACCAAAGCCACAGCATCTGGCTTCTGGCATCTGCAGATATGGAGGGGAGGGAATCACCCTTCTTTGTAAAACAAAATTACATCAGCAGAGCAGCAAGAAGATTCCACCCAGGCAAACTGAATTACTTTCTGAATGTGCCAATGACAGCTTCTTTCTCTGTGGTTAAAATCTATTTTCTAGTGACAAATCTGAAGAGTTAAGGGGGAAAAATTTTTATTAAGTGAACCGTAAAACATAAGAATGACCATAAAGTGTTAAGCCCGCAATCTACAACTCAGTATTCCCTCCCTAACACTTCCAACAAGTTATTATGTCAGCCACAAATGATTAGGAATATTTATAACCCAAAGCGCCGGATTCCCTTACTGGATCTATCAAAGGGTTAAAAAGACTGAACTTTTGATTTCAGTGGTATGTGTAGGGAACTCCCAGGTACAGGTCAGCACCTCTTCTGCTGCTTGTATGTAGTCTTTGTTACCTAGAATCCTGAGAGGTAAGGTGACTTCCACACAGTTATGAAGTCAGTGTGTCAGAGGTGGCTCTGGAACCCAGGTCTTCTTACTATTCCATGCTATCTCTCCCAGTATTATATATGAATTTTTTAAAAATAAATTTTATAGATGCTTTTTTTTTTACATCTTCATTTCCAGATAGTCATACCTCTCTCCCAACAAAAAAAATTTTTTAAAAACAACTGATCCTTGTCTAACAATTTGTGCAGCATTCTGCCCAAATAATCCTAGGCTCTATCAGAGGAGGGAGAGACGTTTTGTTATCTGGTCTCCTAGGCCCTAGTTGGTTTTTCGGTTATTCAGTTTCACTAAATCTAACTAAGTCAATTTTGAGCTTCATTGGTCTTTTCAGCATATTGATGCCCTGTGAATACAACAGGTTTCAAAAAGTGCTTTCTATTTCTAGAATTCTGAGATTTAGTGAAGAGTTTGTGTTTACTCTTGATGATTTTATAAACTTTACTCTCAGCCCTGGTCTTTCCAAGCCCTAAGCAGCTTGGGGTTCTAGGTGGAAATTTATTATAATGATAATGGTAGCATAATAGTTTACTGTAGCAGTAAATAGACACCCCCTCCAAAAAAGCATAAATACAATGTTTTTAATGCACAAAAAAGAAAAGGACACTAATAGAGCAATTTTGTTGCTACCTTATTAAATTTATATATTTGTATGTATGTGTATTTTTACATATGTATGCCTTAAAAATAAACTGTACATAAAGGAAGTTCATTGTTTCTTAGATAATATTTTTTTCTTGTTCTTTGCACGTTGTAGTATTTGTTGCTTATTTATTGATGCAAGCTTATTGATGATTGTTAAGTTTACAGCTTAAATTTTTTTTTCAAAAAAATTTTGAATTTGCCATCAGGATATCTAGATTCAGATTTTGCATCTGACTCTGTGACCTTAGGAAAATCATCTCACCTTTCTCAGCCTCAAGTTTTCATATCTGTAAAATGCAGATATTATTTACCTTATTTTCCAGGGTTATTATGAGAAAATTGCATCGGAAACCCTAAGTACTCTATAAATGTACGGTATGGTAGTGAAGACTCTATTCGAACATTTCAATTGTTTTTCCCTAGATTTTCTTCAGCTCTTTTATATCTTTCTTGAGCTGCAGCCATGAGAACTACATTCATCATTCTGTGTTTCTTGTTTTGTTTCCAGTACCTTTTTGCAAATATCCAGAATTTTGTTGGCTTTTTTTGGCCGCAGAAACACATTAGACCATTGTCCTCAGGGAACAGGAAACAATTTACATTGACTCCAGAGTTAGAATTTTGCCTGACACACACAGTGAAACACATCTGTCAGACAACTTTCCCAGATCTTCCTTAAGTAGAGCCCAGTCAGTGTGTCATTTAACTATCAAGAAGAGATAATGCCATCTACAAAATTGGGGATGTAGTAGAAAGAAAACAAGAGTAAGTTCATGTTGATTAAAGTCTCAACTCTTCTACTTACAAACTCTCCTAGGAAGGATACTTTATGTGAATTACTTACCCTCCCTGTAAAATGGTACATGTGCTGCCTCTATCACAGGGATATTACAAGGATCCAAAGATAGCGTATGGTTAAATTGCTTTATGCTTTGTGCTGGGCTATAAAACTTAAGGTGCTTTATTAACTTGTTTTTTGTTTTGCTTTTCATCTGGACCTCTTAAGAAATCCTAATGTGGAATCCCCTTCCACTGATCCGAATCCCTGACTGCCAATTCTAGTCATATAGAGCTGCCTAGGTAAGGGCACCGGGAGGTGAAATGATTTGTCCTAGGCACAAAGAAGCAAAACATTAACCAACATCTCTCTGACTCCAAGCTTTCTCCTCTGTCCACACTGCGTCCAGAATTGTTATTACTGTTGATCATGTATAATCACCAGATGTCACTAAACCTCTTGAGGAACTACAAGTAATAATGCTGAGCCTCAATCCTAGGGAGAACCTAGCATTGCTACATCATCCAGAGATAGTATTCTTTGTCCATTATCTACATTTTGTTTCCTTTCTCCAAGCCATTTCCCTGTCAGTGATTAAAATATACCACTCTGATCCCACAGAAGGCAAGGATTTTGTCTAGTGGTCAAACCTGCCAAAAAGCTTTTTTAAATGTTTAGATAAATTACACCAACTGGTTTATCCTTGTCCACATGCCTAATCTTAATCTACTATACTCCAACTCTAGTAGAATAGTCAGAGATAATTTCCCCCTACAAATACTACAATGCCTTTTCCTTCGTAGTTGGTTTCAACCTAAGTGTTTAGAAGTAGGCCAATATTATATTACAAATTCTACCAGGACACCTAATGTCAGAGGAAGAGTCACCAACCTTCATTTCCTAGTTTCACCCTTACACTCCTAGGGAGCTAGCTAGTGAATAGGGTGTTGGCCTTGGAATCAGAAGACATGAATTAAACTCTTACTACTGACGTTAGGCAAGTCACTTAGCTTCTCTCAGCTTCAGTTTACTTATATAGTGGGGATAACAGCACCTCATAAAATGGAGATAAGAGCACCTGCTTTGCAGTGTTGTCCTGGGAATCCAATGAGGCAGCTTAAGTAAAGCACTATGCAAACCCTAAAACGCTATACAAATGCTATTATTATTATGGATATGAATCATATCAGGAGGTATTTGCTAACATCCCAATGTCTTCCCCTGGCTCTTAATCCCTGACGGTCTGGGTGTATAAACTTTGTGAGAGATGGGACCATTCCATGATAAACTTCAATAAATAGTCCCTTCAATAAACTTACCTTTAGAATGTGAGCTCCTCGAGGGCAGGCATAGGTTTGGGGTTTGTTTGTTTGTTTTTTATTACCTTTCTTTGTATCTTCAATTTATGTACAGGGTCTGCCACATAGTAAGGACTTAATAAATGTTTGTTGACTGTCTCCTCATTCAGATTAGCTCATTACCCCTGTTCCATGACCAACAGAAGACAATGATTTGCCCAGAATCACACAGACAATACGTGTGTGTCGGGGGCTACATGAGCTCAGGACTTCTTGACTCCAAGTTATAGGCTCCTAAATACTGATTATTCTGTTCAAGGTAGAGAGATAAGGTTTTTCATTCAGGACAGACCAAAGACTTCAGAGCGGGAATAATATTCTTCCTTAATAGTTTCTAGAAGAAAAATAGAGTTCAGTAAAGAAACTTCCACACTGATAATGCTACTAGTGTTTCTCTATTATAAATATTGATAGCTCTTGGTTTTAAGAAGAAACTTTGGTGCTTTTTGGTATTTTTAACACGTGAGTCCTTTATTTCATTTTGTTGAAGGCCTTTTCTTAACATACTTAACACTGAAGCTATTTTTCTTATTAATATCATCTATTATTTTTATCTTTTTCCTATCATTGGACTATCCCAACAATCCTGGGATAAATCCAACCCAATCATATGAATAATTTAAGAAAATATATTGCTGTAATCTCATTTCTAATATTTTATTAAGTATTTTTGCTGCAAGATTCATTAGTGAGATTGGTCTCTGGTTTTCTTTGTCTACTTTTAACTCTCCATTGCTTGGGGATCAGGACCATATTTATCTCCTCGAAGGAGTTTGCTATGCCTTTATTTTTGTAAAAATTTTTATTGTTCATAGGGGTCAATTGTTGTTCTCTAAGTGTTAGAATCCTTTTGTAAACTAATATATGACAATTTCCAAGACAATTTGCCTTTTGAAGACTGTCCAGCTTTTTTTCTTTTTTTCCAACAGGAATGCTTAGAAGTTGTCAGTTCTGTTAAAAGTTTGTTTTTTCCCCAGTAGCATCATGGCATCATAGGTTTAAAGCTGAAAGGGACCTTAGAGGTCATCTAGTCCAGTCTTTTCGTTTTTCGGATGTAGAAACTGAAGTACAGAGAGGTTCAGTGATTTTTCCCATGGTTACTCTGACAGCATGTAGGATTGTGCTCAGCTTTCTAGGATAACCCTTTCTTGGGCAGAGTAGGCCTTTT